CTGAAAAGCACATTCCCAACCCCAAAAATGCCGCTCACACCCCGGGCTGGCACCCAGGGAAGGAATCAGCTGAGTCTGTTGGAAAATTGGAGCTGGTTCAGGGATTTCAGTGGGATCACCATCTCCTATAACTGATCCCCCATCAGCTCCCATTTTAACCTGGTTTCAGGGATTTTTCCAGGAAATATCCAACAGTGGCCTTAAGGAAGGATTACAGAATTTGCTTCTTGCAAGAATGATGAGAATGGGACTGGAATGGTTTCTAAACTGCAATGAAATGAGGAAAAGGAACAGGAGCTGCACTGTCGTTAATGAAGATAAATCCATCTCCTCCCCCGTGTTAATCACCAGCTGTTTCACACATCACTAACAAACGATATCAATTAAAAACAAAAACAAACGACAAGAAATGTGCAGCACTCCAGGCTGGGAGAGGTCACAATTCCCAACGGGATCAATCATCTGCTGTGACAGAAGGGAATAAAAAATTCCCCACTTGACCCCCTCCATTCAAACATTGAATGTTCTCCTCCTCCTCCTCCTCCTCCTCGTGGAGAGGATGATTTTTGGGGCTGAAGGCCAAGGGAAGGTGAGTGAAGCACTGTCTGGGAATTGGAGCCTAATTTTGCAAGGAATGAGGGGATAGTGGAAAAAAATTTTTGGAAAAATTGTCAACATTTTTTAAAAAATCATCACAGACAGCACAGCAGCAACGCAGCCTGAAAATCAGAGCTGAAACCTTCCTTCTCAGTAGCCCTGAGCTACTCAGAACATGTTTAAATTTCTTTGATATATAATTTTTAAAAAATTTAATATATTTTTATTTATTTTTATTTATTTTAATATATTTATAACTCTAATACACTTTATTTATGACTCTAATACAATATATTTATAACTCTAATACACTTATTTTATATGTAAAAACATATATATTAATACATAAAGATATATTTATATATAAATATATATATAACTCTAATACAATATGTTTATATTGTATATAAGATATGTATTTATATATATTTATATATAGATAGAAATATATATTATATATATATTTATATATGATATACATATAATATATAAATGTGTATTTAATATATATAAAAATGTGTATTTATATATATTTATATATAGATATAAATATATATATTATATATATTTATATTTATATATTAGATATTTATATTTATATATAAATATCTATCTACAACTATAATACAATATACTTCTATTTTATATATAGAAACATATATATTTATATATAAAATTATATATACATTTATAACTCTAACACAATATATTTATATTATATATAAAAATATATTGATATATATATAATTATATATTTATATATAAATATGTATTTGTATAGATTTATGTTTATACACTATAATTATATTTTCATATTTTAATAGATAATTAAATATTTATATATAAATATATATTTGTATATATTTATGTTTATACACTATTTATAATTATAATATTTTCATATTTAAATATACATAACATAGTTATAAAATATATAAAATATATTTAATATGTTTTAAAATATTTTTAATAGAATTTTTAGAATTTTTTTAATTAAATGAACCATTAATCATGTTATAGAAATGTCATGAAGCACTTTAAGCCCCTGAACTCACCGTGCCTGCTGATGAAGCGGATGCAGCTCTCCACCACCAGGGGAATGGCTTGGGAGGAATCCTGCCCAAAGAGGAATTCCAGNAACATTTTTTAAAAAATCATCACAGACAGCACAGCAGCAACGCAGCCTGAAAATCAGAGCTGAAACCTTCCTTCTCAGTAGCCCTGAGCTACTCAGAACATGTTTAAATTTCTTTGATATATAATTTTTAAAAAATTTAATATATTTTTATTTATTTTTATTTATTTTAATATATTTATAACTCTAATACACTTTATTTATGACTCTAATACAATATATTTATAACTCTAATACACTTATAGATAAAAACATATATATTAATATATAAATATATATTTATATATATATAAATATTTATAACTTTAATACAATATATTTATTTTATATATAAATACATATATATTAATATATAAAGATCTATTTATATATAAATATATATATAACTCTAATACAATATGTTTATATTGTATATAAGATATGTATTTATATATATTTATATATAGATAGAATTATATTTTTATATATTTATATATATTTATATATTTATATATATTTATATATTTTTATATAATTATGTATTTACAACTATAATACAATATACTTCTATTTTCTATATAGAAACATATATATTTCTATATAAAATTATGTATTTATATATAGATTTATAACTCTAACACAATGTATTTATATTATACATATAAAAGATATTGATATATATAATTATATATATATAAATATATATTTGTATAGATTTATGTTTATACACTATAATTATATTTTCATATTTTAATAGATAATTATATATTTATATATAAATATATATTTGTATAGATTTATGTTCATACACTATTTTAATTATAATATTTTCATATTTTTATATATAACATAGTTATAAAATATATTTAATATGTTTTAAAATATTTTTAATAGAATTTTTAGAATTTTTTTAATTAAATGAACCATTAATCATGTTATAGAAATGTCATGAAGCACTTTAAGCCCCTGAACTCACCGTGCCTGCTGATGAAGCGGATGCAGCTCTCCACCACCAGGGGAATGGCTTGGGAGGAATCCTGCCCAAAGAGGAATTCCAGAAAGAGCAGGCAGATTGCAAAATGGGAAAAAAACAAAAAAAAAATCAGAATAAAAAACGAGAAAGGTTTAACTCTGCGCGCCAAAATCACAACTTCCTCTCTTAATTTATTCCTAAAAACTCCAAAGCAGCAGCCCAAGACTGTGTGAGCTGGAGCTCCCAGCCAAGTTTTAACCAAAAGGAGATATTTTGGGTCCTCTCTATCTCAAAAAAAAAACCTTTTAACTCTCAGGGTACCAAAAAAGCAACAGATTATCCCCAAGGCCAAGGTCACAAAGCCTGGCTTTGTAAATCTCGATTACACAAGAGAGCAATCCAGGTTTAACAGTGGGATTGCAGGAAAATAAAGGGGACAAAGGAATAGCAGCACGGATCCCATAAAACTCAAGATTTGGGATTTTTGGTTCCAGCTCTGTGAAAACGTGGAGCAAAACCCATTTTAAATTCTGTCACAGGAAACGAATGAGGGGGATTGGGGTTTGGGGGATTTATGGGACAAGGTTAGGAAAATCCATGGAATAGGGGCAGGGAGGGATACAAAAAGGGGAAGGAGGGATAAAAATGGGCAGGAAGGGACAAAATCAGTCAGGGAGGGATAAAAACAGGCAGGGAAGGATAAAATCGAGCAGAGAAGGATAAAAATGGGCAGGGAGGGATAGAAAAAGGGGCAGGGAGGGATAAAATCAGGCAGAGAGGGATAAAATTGGGCAAGGAGGGATAAAAAAAAAGGCAGGGAAGGATAAAAATGGGCAGAGCAGGATAAAAATGGGCAGGGAGGGATAAAAATAGGCAGAGAAGGATAAAAACGGGCACGGAGGGATAAAAATGGGCAGGGAGGGATAGAAATGGGCAGAGAGGGATAAAAATGGGCAGAGAAGAATAAAAAACAGGCAGGGAGGGATAGAAAGAGGCAGGGAGGGATTAAAGAAAAGGCAGGGAAGGATAAAAATGGGCAGAGAGGGAGAAAAACGGGCAGGGAGGGATAAAAAATGGGCAGAGAAGGATAAAAACGGGCAGGGAGGGATACAAAACGGGGAAGGAGGGATAAAAATGGAAAGGAAGAGATAAAATTGGGCAGGGAGGGCTAAAAACAGGCAGGAAAGGATAAAAGTGGGCAGGGAAGGATAAAATCAAGCAGAGAGGGATAAAAATGGGCAGAGAAGGATAAAAACGGGCAGGGATGGGTAAAAATAGGCATAGAGGGATAAAAACAGGCAGGGAGGAATAAAAAACAGGCAGGGAGGGATAGAAAGAGGCAGGGAGGGATAAAAATGGGCAGGGAGGGATTAAAAAAAAAGCAGGGAGGGATAAAAATGGGCAGAGAGGGAGAAAAACGAGCAGAGAGGGATACAGAAAGGGGAAGGAGGGATAAAATGGAAAGGAAGAGATAAAATTGGGCAGGGAGGGATAAAAATGAGCAGAGAAGGATAAAAATGGCCAGGGAGGGATAAAAATGGCCAGGGAGGGATAAAAATGGGCAGAGAAAGATACAAACAGGCAGAGAGGGATAAAAACAGGCAGAGAGGGAGAAAATCGAGCAGAGAGAGATACAAAAAGGGGAAGGAGGGATAGAAATGAGCAGGGACCAATAAAAATAGGCAGGGAGAGAGAAAAACAGGCAGAGAAGGATAAAATCGAGCAGAGAGGGATAAAAATGGGCAGAGAAGGATAAAAACAGGCAGGGAGGGATAGAAAGAGGCAGGGAGGGATAAAAATGGGCAGGGAAGGGTAAAAATGGGCAGGGAGGGAGAAAATCGAGCAGAGAGAGATACAAAAAGGGGAAGGAGGGATACAAATGAGCAGGGACCGATAAAAATAGGCAGGGAGGGAAAAAAACAGGCAGGGAAGGATAAAAACAGGCAGGGAAGGATAAAAGTGGGCAGGGAAGGATAAAATTGAGCAGAGAGGGATAAAAATGGGCAGAGAAGGATAAAAACKGGCAGGGAGGGATAAAAAAACGGGCAGGGAAGGGTAAAAATGGGCAGAGAGGGATAGAAATGGGCAGGGAGGGAAAAAAACGGGCAGAGAGGGATAAAAACAGGCAGAGAGGGATAAAAATGGGCAGGGAGGGATAAAAATGGGCAGAGAGGGAGAAAACCGAGCAGAGAGAGATACAAAAAGGGAAAGGAGGGATAGAAATGAGCAGGGACAGACAAAAATAGGCAGGGAGGGAGAAAAACAGGCAGGAAGGGCTAAAAACAGGCAGGGAGGGATAAAATTGGACAGAGGGATAAAAATGGGCAGGGAGGGATAAAAAYGGAAAGGAAGAAATAAAATCGGGCAGGGAGGKATAAAAATGAGCAGGGAAGGATACAAAAAGGGGAAGAAGGGATAAAATCAGGCAGGGAGGGCTAAAAACAGGCAGGGAAGGATAAAAGTGGGCAGGGAAGGATAAAATCGAGCAGAGAGGGATAAAAATGGGCAGGGAGGGATAGAAACAGGCAGGGAGGGAGAAAAACGGGCAGAGAGGGATAAAAATAGGCATAGAGGGATAAAAACGGGCAGGGAGGGATAGAAACAGGTAGAGAGGGATAAAAACAGGCAGGGATGAATAAAAAATGGGCAGGGAGGGATAGAAAGAGGCAGGGAGGGATAAAAATGGGCAAGGAGGGATTAAAAAACAGCAGGGAAGGATAAAAATGGGCAGAGAGGGAGAAAAACAGGCAGAGAGGGATAAAAAACGGGCAAGGAAGGACAGAAAGAGGCAGGGAGGGATAAAAATGGG